GTTTTAAGCCACCGGGTCCGGGACACGAACCGCGGTCGACTACGTGGGAGTCCAGTGACATAGCCATTACGCTAACTGCTGGTTCCCTCAGAAGCCATTTTAAATCTGAGGTGAGCACCATGCGGTTTTCATTTTTCACTTTTTTTAAAAAAATAATTACGTATTTTATTTTATTTGTTCATTCATTCATTTATTTTAATTTGACCAGAAAGAGAGAAATAAAAAGAGAGAGTGAGAAAGGAAGTTGCCAGATCCAGGACTTGAACCATGGTCGACCTCATGGGAGTGTCCAGCACCTTATCCACCATGCTACCTGCTGGTCCTCATTTTTTACCTTTTATTTATTTATTTATTTTAAATTTTATTCATTGTCACCATTTTTACTTTATTTTATTGAAGTTGACCAGAGTGAGAGAATGAAAGTGAGAAAACAAGCTGCAAGGTCCAGGACATGAACCAAGGTCAGCCTTGTGGGAGTCCAGCTGCCTTAACCACCACGCCATCTGCAAGCCCCCATTTTTTACCTTTTAAAAGTAATTTTTTCCCCTTTTTTTGGGTTTTGTCTAGTTTTTCTTTCTCATTTTCCTTTCTTTTCTTTCTTTTGCTTTTATTTTTTTTTTTAACCTCACTTTTCTACTCTGCTCTTCAGTCTCCACACATTGAGTGTCTAGACAGGCCTAGGTGCACAGTAGCCAAGCCTCTGAATACTTTTGGGGTCACTGAAATCCTCAATGCTTATTGAACTTCCTGCTTTACGGGAGAAACTTTTTATATATCTGAACTCATAATCTCTTTCTGTGGATACCACATTGCAAAATACAGTAGAGGAGAGATTTTGTCACAGAATGATCAGAAACCCATGTAGAGGCACAAGAAATATGAGAAATCAAAGAAATATCTTTCCCATAAGTGAAAAGAACAATCCTTCACCATCCACAGACAGTACAGCGAAACTTGTGGAAATGTCTGGTAGAGAATTCAGAATACTCATAGTGACAAAACTAAATGAGATGCAAGAGCTGAGAGACAATGAGCTCCAGAAGATGGAGGAGAAAAGAGATGAGTTCCAGGAGGTGAGGAAGTTCTTGCACGATCAGAAAGAGGAACTACACACCATAAAAAAGAATCAACTGGAGCTGTTAGAGACACAGGCTGCAATACAGGAAATCAAAACCTCCCTCGAAAGTATTAAAAGCAGATTAGTCCATGCAGAGGACTGAATTTAGGATGTTGAAGGCAAAACCTCTGACCTAGAAAAAAAACAACCAAAAAAACTGAAAAAATAACCAAAAATAATGAGAATACTATACGAGAAATACTAGATACCATTAAGCGCCCAAATATCCGGATAATCAGTACCCCAGAAGGTGAAGAAACTAATAAGGGCATTAATAATCTATTCCATGAAATCCTGGAAGAAAACTTTCCAAATCTAGAGAGGTATTCAAATCATTCAAATATCCAGACCCAAGAAATACAAAATCAACCCAAGAAGATCTTCTCCAAGGCACATCACAGCCAGATTGGCCAAATCCACAAAGACGAAATACTAAACTTGGCAAGAGAGAAACGTCAGGTTACTTATGAAAGTTATCTCATCAGGCTAACATCGGACCTCTCATCAGATACCAAAGAATGAAAAAATATAGTCAAAGTGTTAAGGGAAAAACAGTGTCAACCAAGAATTCTATACCCGGCAAGATTATCCTTCATATGGGAAGAAAAGATAAAAACATTCTCAGATAAACAAAACCTGAAGACTTTATCAACACCAGAACAGCTCATCACGAAGTTCTGAAAGGAGTGCTTTACCAGGAAAACTAAAGATAAACACACAGAAATAAGAGAACAAAAAGCAACCAAGATAATGACCAACTTAATTAGGGACAAGGAATATCAATAATAACATTGAATGTTAACTTCCAGGATTTAAACAGAAAGATTGCATAATACTGCAAATTCAACAGAAGAAAGATTAATTACATAAGACTGAACTGGTAAAATAAAAATGTATGAGTTTTGAGTAAACATTACTGTCTTTTTCTTTACTATGTTTTGTATGCCCAATATAAGGATTTTGCTTTCTTTTGAGCTGTTGATAGGTTTAGCAATTTGTTAAAATGTTTCTTCTTGTGTGTTTGTTTCTTGAAATGAAAACATAAACTTCTTTCTCTTCATGACCCCTCTGGAATTGGAAAATATTTGGGAGTTGTGTTGTTTTGTGGCAGAATGGTTATTTGTATAAATTTAGTAATACCTGTTGCCTTGAATCAGAAATTGGAGATACTCGTTATTGGACGGGGCTTTGACCAGAATCTGAAGATTAAACCAGAAAACTATGGAGCTAAGGTAGATCTCAAGTAAGCCGACACAAGCTCTTGGAAACTGGCCTGACACCATAAAAAGAAATCAGTAGAGACTGCAAAAGAGCAGCCACAACCAGAGGGTTATCTTGAGGAAGACTTTGAAGAAAGAGAGACTGATCTTTGCTAGCAGATGGTATATAACAGAATACTTGGTAGGCAGGGCTGAATCGAGAAGGTTTATGTGTGAATTGTGTGCTGGGTGTTTGCTTTTCAACAGTTTGAGTAGCTGACATGTAAATATTTTCTCAAAAATATTTATAGAGTCACAAACAAAATTATAACAAATATTTAAAATATTTTCTTTAGAATTCAGTTTCTTGACATTTTGAAAGTTGTTTATTAACTGTCAAGAACTATGGTGTATGAGCAAAAATTTTTTGATATGTAAAGTAAATGTTTGTGGGAAAATGTAAAAATAAATAAATAAATGATTAAAAAAAAAAAAAAAGCTATTGCAGTGTGCCCATTCCCCACGGAGGGTGCTTTTTCCTCTCCTCTCTCTCTGGTGAGTGGCCTTTACAAATAGATATAGGTAAATAAATAAATGATTTTTGTTTTGCTTCTTTTTTTTAAATTATTTATTTTATTTATTATTATTATTGTTCTTATTTCTAAGTTTGTTATAGGGCATGTGCACTCACGAGAGAGAGACAGAGAGACAGAGAAAGTGAGAAACAAGTCTCTAGGTCTGGGACTTGAACTATAGTCAGCCATGTGAGAGTCCAGCACCTTAATCACCATGCCACCTGCTGGCCCCCAATTTTTTTTTTCTTTGAGAAATGTTTGCTATAGGCACATTCAGTCACCAAAGAGATAGACAGACAGAACGTGAAAAATTCCCCCCAAGGGGGATGGTCACACCACAATCCCTTCTCCACTCTCCTCTTGGGATTTTGGGCATGCACACACACACACCCAGCATGAGTTTCAACCTGCCAGGTTTTAAGTCTCGAACCGCGGTTGGCCATGTGGGAGTCCAGCAACATAACTACTATGCCATCTGCTAGTCCTATGATTTTTTTTTTTAAAGAGCATAAGTGGAGTGCTTGAATTTAAATGTCTCAACTTAATTCCCAAACATTTATAGTTGGACCAAAAAAATTCACCGCACAACCTTCATGAGAGTCTGTCTCAAACTTGTGGAGTCATATGGAAAAAGATTAAATGGCCTAAGCATATGAACGAAGGGGTCCCAAAATTCAGAAAAGGTATTTTCAAATCATTCCAATACTATGTAAAGTTGCATGCCTCTTAACAGACTGCATCTAATTCCAAAGATGCAAGAAACAAGAGAAACCTCATAGTCTCTCTCATGCAATAGCCCTGGCAGATAAAAAGGAAAAAGAAATAAAAATATAGTTTCTGTTTTAAAGTCCCTCAAGATGGAGAGCACTGTACTGTCTCGAGCAATGTAATCCTTATGAGATAGGAATTAGACAGACCACTTACAGGTAGATAGGGAAAGGGTCTTGAAAGGAAGTCACTGTATGTTTGGTTGTTATTATTGTTCTAAATGAAGTCTCTGTGTTTTTCCTCCATGGATTAATGTACAATATACACCCCTTTTATATGTCTCTAAAGAATGTTTGACTTCTTGGGACCAGCAGATGGCAGAATGGTACTGACTCCCACATAGTTAACCGCCGTATGAGTCCCAGACCCAGGGGCTTAAAAACTCACACCAGGCCTATGTGCATGCGTGCCCAAAATCCCAAGAGGAAAATGGAGAAGAGATTGCAGCGTGGCGATCCCCTCTCCGAGGGTGATTTCTCACCTTTTGTCTCTTTGTTTCTCTCTCTGGTGAGCACACACGCCCTATAGTAAAAATCTCTCTTTAAAAAGAAAAAAAATAAATAAAAAAACAACTAGTAACAATAATAATTTATGACTTCTTACTAATAAGGCAGGAGAAAGGAATATTGAGCCTCAGACATGATAAATCCAGGATGGAGTCACAATGGCTAAGTTTTCACAGCCACAAGCTGGCTTCATTGGGACTCAAAATAACTGTAGCTAAGGGCAACAGTTTCTATTTAGTACCTATATTCTTCTTTTTTTTTTAATAATTATTTTATTTAACTTTATTTATTTATTTATTTAAATTTGATCAGAGAGGGACAAGGAGAGAGAGAGAGAGAAGTGAGAAAGCAAGCTGCCAGGTCTGGGACTCAAACTCCAGTTGGCTATGTGAGAGTCTAGCACCCTTAACCACCACGCCACATGCCAGTCTCTAGTACCTATATATATATATTTTTTCTTTTGGAGAGGTTTTTTGCTATAGGGCGCATGCACTCACCAGAACAGAGAGACAAAAGTGAGAAATCGCACCCCAGGGAGGATGGCTACGCCACAATTCCTTCTCCTCCATTCTCCTTGGGATCTTAGGCATGCACGGATACGCGCCCGGCATGAGTTTAAGCCACCAGGCCCAGGACTCAAACCGCAGTCAACTACATGGGAGTCCAGTGACACAGCCATTACACCAACTGCCACTCCCACAGAACACTGTGATCTGCTGACCCCACAAAGAGTAGGGTAATAAATCATTCAGACTACTATGCAACTATTTTCAAAACCTACTTTCTTATCAGAGAACTAACCCATTGCTCAGGCTGCTAAATTAATACCTCTCACCTCTAGCTCTTCTTTGGCAACCCATTCGGGCCCCCTTCCATTGCATTGGAAGCTTTTTCTCCTTCCCTAGTAAACTTCGCTTTACCAATTCTTCATGAGCAAAGGACAAGAATGAGCACAGGTGTTGGGTGTGATCACCCAGCACTCCTGCGTCACTTGAAGGGCAACTTGAACATCACACATTTCCCATCCCCACTAAAACCCAGAACTGACATTCTTTAAACAGAAGCTATATTTTTGTTTTGTTTTGTTTTTTTCCTGCCAGGGATATTATATGGGAGAAAATATGAGGTTTTTCCCATTTCTTGCTTCTTTTAAATTAGATGCAGTCTGTTAAAAGGAATTCAACTTGACATAGTATTGGAATAATTTGAAAATACTTTTTTTTCCTGAATGTTGGGATCCCTTGGCTCATTTCCTTAGAAATGAAGGACTCTCAGGACCAGCAGATGGTGGAATGTTTATGTTATGTAATGCTATGCTGGACTCCCACATAGTCGACCATGGTTTGAGCTCCGGACCTGGTAACTTGAAACTCACACTGGATGTGTGTGTGTGTGCCCAAAATCCCAAGGAGAGAGTGGAGGAGAAGGGATTGCAGAGTGGCCATCCCCCTGGGGGGTGATTTCTCACTTTCTGTTTCTGTCTCTGTCTGTCTCTCCGGCAAGGCACGTCCCCTATAGCAAAAATCTTCAAAAAAATAAAGAAATGAAGAACCCTCAGCCTTGGGTCAGCTCCGTTGTACAGTGGTATATGTCAGAAGCTGGATCTCCCATCGAATCTGCCTGAAACACGCCAGCAGCACACACAAGTACCCAGGATCCAATGGGCTGGAGTACTGGGGGGAAGGGATGGTGGCTTGGCCAGACCCTGTGGAGGGTGCTCCTGTATCTCTTTCTCTTTCTTGTTCACATCTATGCACACAAAGCCTATCATGAATAAAGAAAAAAATCATCTTTAACCTTTCCTTTTGTGAAATGGTTTATAGAACGCTCAGCCTCCTTTTGCCCTCTTCCATTTACTTTCTTATCTGACCAAGATCAACAGACAGTGGGGCCCCCCACACCTGGCCTCCAGAGGAGGAACCAACCCACATCGAGGGCCCCAATCTCAACCCTGAATCTTGAGTTAAGCAGCCACCAATTTAGGCCACACCCTAAGGTACAGGTCTAGCAGTCACCCACTTCACCCCACAGGCTCTTTTCACACACAGTCTCACACCTGACTCATTCTCTAGACACTGCATTTTTTTTTAAAAATCCACATAATCAATTCATTTCCACCTTTCAGCACAGTTGAGGCCAAATAGCCACCTGATACTTTGAGAGGCAGAGACCTAGGAGCCCATTTTAGGGTTTGACCTCAAGGTTGAGGATGTGCCCAGAACAAAGTCCCTGGAGATGGCTCTCCATCCTGTCTGGATTTTGGAAGCACATGCACCTAGAATATTTTTCAAGCCCCCAAGGCCGGGCCTCAAAGCTCGTGGTCAGCCACGTGGGATCTGGCTTCTTTAACCACCAGGACCCAGAACTGGCTCATCCTGCTCCCTTACTGGAAGCAACGTGAAATCACTCACAACAATCCACTCTCCATTTCCCCCCTTTCCTCCTCTTCTTCATTCTAAATATGCTGCTGTTACTCATGAAGACAGCGTGAAGACCAAGCTTCTGAAATACGCAGTTAGTGAAGTCAGGTGCACTATATGCAGTAAAAACAACCTCAATTCTTCCCACCATTGCTCCCCAGGATTCAAAAGGCCTCCTCTGCCCATCCTCCCTCTGGCCTAGCCGAATCCCAGCCAGACCTGAGCCAACAAGTCTCACAGCCACTCCCAGACATCCAGCAATGCCAGAGGAAGGTTAAGAAACAGGACTGACTGGTTCACCCCTCCTCTTCCATTCCTAACCTCGGGCCTGACACCCCACCCACCCACCAACACCCTCCTGCTCCACCAAATTATGCTTCTCACACTCAGTCTGATGTGTCTGGGAGCTCAACTCCCCAAAGTCTTCAATGCTGACTAAATGTAATTCAGCATAAGTTACCAGTGAAAAACTGAACATACAAACAACGGCCAAACCATATATAAAAATGCAACTATGGGGGCTGACAGGTTGCATGGCAGTTAAGGGCACTGGACTCCCACACGGCCGCCTGCAGTTTGAGTCCTGGGCCTGGTGGCTTGCTTTCTCACTTTCCCTCTCTCTCACTCTGTCCCTCTCTGGTCAAATTTAAATAAATAAACGAATAAATAAAGTTAAATAAGATAAATCTTAAAAAAGAAAAATACAATTGTGACCCAGAATCTGTAACAACCAGACCAGGGAGTCAAACCACAGCCCCTGTAGAAATCAGCGCAAAATGCCCAGGACTTAATCAATAAGTCAGCTTCCCTAATTTTGGCCCCCATGTCCAACTTAGATCCAGCCAGAGAAAGCCAAATATGCTTCCCTAACCAACACATAGAAACCCTGTTGCTAGGAAGCCTGCCTCTAGCTTCCCCAGGCTGAGCCTACCTGAAGCCTTCCCCTTTCCTCCCTCCCATATTCCCATCCCTACCTGCCTTTGAGTGTCAGGTGATGCTGAGCGATGGTGGCTGACTCCCCTGCTATAGGGAGGTCTGAATAAATCACTTTTTGCTTATTCTCATTTGGGGAGTCTTTGTTTATTTCCATACCAGGTTCCTAACACTAATAACAACCCCTACCCACAGCAGCTTAGTCTAGGAAACAATCACATTGCGATACAGTGTACGTGTACAACAGAGGCACAGTACTGCTGATGCGGCAGAGGTGAACCATTCAAACAGGCTCCCCAGGAGGAGTGAAGACAACCAGGCTGGTTCTGAAATAAGAATAGCACCCCCTGGGATCAGACAGTGGCTCAGTGGTAAAACACGCAACTCTGCTAGGCAGTCTCATATGGGAAGGTTCCTGGTTCAAATCCAGAGGTCTTCCAGAGTATGCCAAGCACACATGTGCCCATGATCTGGGGCTGCTAAAGACGAGGGGTAAATCCAGCTTTGGATCAGTTAGGGATTCTCTCTCTCTCTCTCTCTCTTTCTCTTTCTCTCTCTCTCTCTCTCTCTCTCTCTTTTTGAGAGGTTTTTGCTATAGGGCGCATGCGCTCGCCAGAAAGACACAGAGAGACAAAAAGCGAGAAATCATCCCCCAGAGGGGATGGCCATGCCACAATCCCTTCTCCATTCTCCTCTCGGGATCTTGGGCATGCACGCACACGCACTCGGGGTGAGTTTAAGCCACTGGATCTGAGACTCGAACCATAGTTGGCTACATGGGAGTCCAGCGACATAGCCATTACGCCAACTGCTGGTCCTGGGATTCTCTCTCTTTCACTCATGGAAGAAATAAATATTTTTTTCTTAAGAAGTATTTTATTGGGTCAGCAGGTGGCATGATGGTTAAGGTGGTGGACACTCCCACATGGCCAACCACAGTTCAAGTCCTGGACCTGGTGGCTTGCTTTCTCACTTTCCCTCTCTGTCTCTCTGTCTTTCTTTGGTCAAATTAAAATAAATGAATGAGGAGCAGGCAGGTGGCATGGTGGTTAAGGGCACTGGACTCCTAAATGACAGATCATGGTTTGAATCTTGGGCCTGGCAGCTTGCTTTCTCGCTTTCCTTCTCTCTCTCTCTCTCTCTCTCGCTCTCGCTCTCGCTCTCGCTCTGCCCTGCCTTAAAGGTTTTTCCCTCAGTACATACACATTCTCTGTAGAGAGAGACAGACAGTAAGAGAGAAAGTGAGAAATCATCTCCTGCGGGGGATGGCCATGCTGCAGTCCCCTCTCCTCTGTTCTGCTCTTGTGATCCTGGGCACTCACACACGTGCACCCAACATGATTTTTAAGTCACCAGGTCCAGGACTCGAGCCACAATTGGGCATGGGGGAATCCAGTACCCCAACCACCACAACACCTGAAATTTTAATTTACATTTAATCACTGTACTATCTTTATAGTGTACAACATGACTTTTCCCAGCATGAATACGGTGTATATTAGTCAAAATCATTACCATATATATTATCATCTACAGATAATTCTTCATTTTCATATCTGTTAAATGTTTTGTTTGCCTTTTCCTGGATCCCTCCCTCCCTCCCCCTATTCCTCACTCCCTCCTTTTCTGTCTCTAGAATCTAGAGTTGCCCTCCCTGCT